CTAGCCTTAAAAGTAGACAGGGTGTCTGCCTCACGGACTAAAACTGGTAGTTGGTTCCACAGGAGAGGAGCCTGATAACTAAAAGATCAGGCAGCAATGCCCATGAAATGATGCACACACTGTGTGCTTTAGACATAAGTCTTGGACTTGTTATGAATACTTTAAATATTCGCCCAAAATCTGAAAAAATGCATAGAAGGTTCAGCATATGCCAGCATTTAGGAGTTTCTGGGACGTCAGGCAAACGCTGGATGAATCGGCATGGTGTGACAGGGGTCCTACTTTTGGTTGAGGATATTGACCCAGTTTGACTGATATAAATCATGCATCCGTGCTTAAAATGAGTTTGAGCAGCTAAATAAGATGATCTACCAATAAATCCATTATTTTAGCACATTAAATACTATCATTAGATATTATATGCATTTTAAATGAGATGTGGGATTTCTTTTAATACTTTAAATGTGAATAATCTAATTTGTCAGTGTCTTAAAACCCTGCTTATATCAAGTGAAAATGCATTTTTTCTTCTTTTAAGAAAAATTGACTGTTTGAATTCCTGCTGTTTTAAGGCCTCATTGTTTTTTCCCTCTGCAGCCTGGCCTCTAACCTGCAGCTCACCTTTACTGGATTCTTCCATAAAGCTGGTGAGTCGGTCCCGCCGGGCGTTTCTCTGCGGATGACGTGATGCGCCATCTTCCTGTTTACCAGTGTTGCTTATAAAAGGTTTGGTTCTGTTTCTTCAGGAAAACCGTCTCAGGATAGCGAGAACGAGCAGACGTCCGTTTCTCTGGAGGTCCTGCTGGTTAAAGTGTGCCACAAGAAGAGGAAGGTTGGTGTCCGGGTTCGGGACCATTCTTATAGTTCCTGCTCCAGGCGTAGCTCAGGTTTCCTCTGTTATGGTTTTATTTGCAGGATGTCAGCTGTCCGGTGAAACAGGTCCCAACGGGGAAGAAGCAGGTCCCTCTGAACCCAGACCCGAGCGCCGGAGTTCAGGTCAAAGCGGGCTCCCTCCCCACCCTGCTGGTCCCCAGCAGCGAGTTCGAACCCAGCAACTCCCACATGGTCAAGTCCTACTCTCTGCTCTTCAGAGTATCGAGGCCCGGATGCTCCAGAGGACAGATGAACGGGCTGAGCAACGGGGAGAACCACCACAGCAGAGGTGAGCTGATAGGACACACCTTTGGATATTTTTCAGTAGTTTTCTTTTCAGTCCAGTTAATCATGAACATTTAGAGGAAATATATTTCTATAGCTCCAATTC